ACGCTGCAGTCCGCTCCGGGAAACCACGAAATGGGGAGAAGAAAGTTGGAATGTCGCTTCCTGCTCTGACAGCCGCGCATAATTGGGGACTGTCAAGATCATTTCAGATGACAGTTTGATCTTGTTTGGTCGGTGTACATTACACGTACTATTCTTGTGATTATTATCCACGTATAGAAGCGTTACACTGATGCAGGCCTGATTTGATTCTGGTCGGACTAGCACGAGCGAATACTTTATCTCCGTCAATCGACGCTGGGAGTTCGCGGGGGTGGCAATAGGACATGGACACCATTGGTTACAAGCGCCTGATCAGTGGAGGGAGGCCGGGGGGGGGGGAGCAGCGATGCGCAGTGACTATAAATCCCGACGGTTATTACAGCTCATTACATGGGTGCGACTGCCACCGTTAAAGGGGTGCACGTGGACTGGACATTACTCAGGCGAGTCTCTGCACCTCTGTGGTCCGGGGACGACGGCGGGGGACGGGACGCCCGTGTTACTATAAGTGTCCCACCCCTCCCTGTTCCCCTGGGCCACGTAGTCACACCTGGAGGCTACCTGCCGCCGCGCCTCTGACCGGTAATTACACGCGCGCGGTGGTAATTGGTGTGTTAACGAGGTGCACACAGAGCGCTCCTGTGAGCAGATCCCACTAATTTGGCCCGCTCGTCCCCCGGGCCCACTCACCGGCCGTTCGGCGATCGCGTGAATCGGCCAGGAGCCGCCGCGGCGCGTCACATACGGCGCCACGGGCGGCCGGAGCGCCGCGGGACACCGCAAATATTGGCGGATAAACGCCTCATTTGTACAGTTTTCCTGTCAAAGGGGTGCAATAATTTGCACGTAATTGGGTCACGTGCAACGATTAGATATAAACACATATTATGGTGTCGAAAAGTTAGCCAAGTAGCTTGCTACAGCCATGAATAACAATCGCTTGTTCAGTATAAAATGTGATCGGGATGACTTTCGTTTTCTATTTAGCCAAAGGATTTGAGCTGGGTACACGGGGCGGACAATGGCGTGGACAGAGGGGTGCGCAGAGCGAACGGGGAGAGCCGGCGAGATGGGCACTCCGGAATTCCATCGATCACTATTAATCAGAGCAGGCTGCTTCCGCCTCTCCACAGTGAATGCGGCTGAAGAGCCGACAGAGTACGACGACGTTACGCAGCAGAAAAACGACATAAAACATCGCGAAGCCGCACGTGTCAACACGCTGGCGACAGGGGGTCGCCCGAGGGCCATTGTGGGGTGCGTCGGCTCCGGAGGTGACGACTCATCGGGGCTCGGCGACTCATCTGATGGATAGCCCGGTGACCCGTGCCGACTCGAGCGCCCAGCGATTTGTCCCTCACTAATGCTGACGGATCGGTCACGGTGTTTTGAAAGGCCACGTGACCAGTGCGTTAGCAGTCGCCGTTGCAGCGGAAACGAAATTAGCATTCGTGGGTGCCACAGCTCGAAGCTTACTACAGAAAACATAAGATACATTTTTCTACGTAATTCTGAAGCTTTTTCGAACAACAAACGAATTTCGTGCATTATATAAAATAGACGCTAATTGGGTGCGGTTCTCCCCTTCTATGTCCCACCACCTTTTTCGACGTCAAGAGAAAAATTAGAACGGAAAATTAGAAGCATCATGATTAAGTGAAACTAGTTGGATATTAAACAGCCTCTTGTGAAATCTTAGAAGAGTGCCTGCATCGTTTACAAGGGCTTCTTAAGTGGCTCATTATTTTGCGCCCCGCTGTAAAAATGTCGCATTTGTCACGTTTCCAGACACTCGTAATCTCATCGGTAGAAAAACACCCACTTCTCGCGCCGATAGCAACTGAGGGCTTGTTTTAATATTACACGTATTTACGGAGAAGATTGTTTTAATTGGCACGGAGCAATGGAGCTTTGATATTTAATCGAATCGACATATATCTGTTGCATGTGTCGGCCGGGTTCAATTAGCAATTCAACCGACGACGCAGATCCACCAGCGAGGGGTCTCGGGCTGGTATCGAACAATGGCTCGTCTTCCGACTTACGGCACTAAACCCGAGCGTATTGCGAATCCTCGACCCTTATAAGAGCTCTCTCAGTGAATGCATAATTAGCATCGGGGAGACAGCCACAGTTGACAGGGCCACTTAGCCATGTGCTCGAAATTAGCCCTCTTCAGAGCCGGCGCTCGCTCGGTCCAACTGGCAGAGAGCTGATAGTGAATGTGGAGAAAACAATGGACCGGAGGATTTGAAACACAGCCCCAGAGCGCACGGAACCGACTGGAAAACAATGAGCCTGAGGATGAACTCCTTTAGCCAGAGTTCGGGTGAAGAAGGGCCACTGTCAGCTTCCTGATACCCACTGCCAGCAATGGGAGTAAAATGGTGCGCGCATACGGCTTAATTTGACGGAAAGTGCCCCGGAACATTAGTCATGGTCATACCTACAGAGGCGGATCCAGCTCAGAGTTTTTTTTTTGGGGGGGGGGGGGCAAACCATAACAATTTATCGATTCTTTCCATGCATCGTCCATAGGCGTAATATTAAAATTATGCCGTTTGGGGGGGGGGGCAAATGCCCATTTTGCCCCCCCCCCCCCTGGATCCGCCACTGCATACCTATGTTGGGTATGTCATAACTACAGGCAATTCACTTTGACTGTGGACCTTAGGTCCTTCATCTCCATTTGAATGAACGATTGGTAACTGGCCTCCGCAGACGTCAAGCACCAACGTCCTCATTATTTTCCTTGTTTTCGAACTTTCAAAATCTATTTAAAAAACAAGCATATAGATCACGGTAGCCATTTTCTCTCTTCACAAACCAAGCACCAGGCAAGTCCCAATTTCCAGGACCATTTGATATGAACACTGCTAAATGCGGTCGGTGTTTTGTTTAAGCGGACCTGACACGTCCGACCGGGCCCATAACTCAGACGTCGTTTATGAAGACAAACTGTGTGAGCTATGACTGGAGAAGGCAGCGGGGAAAGGCAATTATCTTTATGGCGGCGCCGCGAGCCCGCGCACAGAGTAACCCCGAGGTGCGACGCCCGGCGCGCAACAAAGGCCGAATCGGCCGGCCTAAGTGCCGCCCCGGGACGCCTCAATGGCCGCAAAGCCGGCCAGAATTGGCGAACGACACGACGAACACCACGTATATTGTGTTTGTCAGAGACGGTGCTGGCAACTCGTAAATACCCCACAAAACGAGCGGTGCGCGTTAAATGCCCGACGGCAAATAAACACAAGTCTATGTTTCCAAAACACTTCAAATTGTTGTGCATTTTAGATGGACTGAATTAACTAGATGGACGGTTTATTGGCATGTTCATTGTACTGGATTGCCATCTGGGGATCCGGAACAAAAGGGTAGTTTGATAAGTTATTTATCTGTAAATATGATGGTTTTATTTTGCCTACTGTTGCCTAGAAAACATGCAGCGCGTCGAAGCGATTGCTCGCCAGCTACACTGCCTTCCCTCTCCTCGCTCATTATTGGCGTTCAATCTGCCACCACCCTGCCCAACATCCCACCAGCAGCCGCGGTAAATCAGTGCCTCCGATGACGTCATCTCCGGCCGGCCGTAAATCACGGCGGCCGGCCGACAGGTCAATGAGTGACGTCATTAGTCACCGGCCGGGTGACGGAGCATGACGCGGGAGGGGCGCGTGCATGGCTCATCGCGTGGTCATACACACAGTGGGGGGACACCGGGTGAGCGGGCAGGGGGGGGGGGGGCATGGAAGCGTCGTCACACCTGCAAAGAGGCTGCCAGGGATCAGCATGAACGGCGTTTTGGTGTGTTTAAGCCAGTGAGCTCACCTCCTATGACGAGCACGATTAAATGACAGTGTTTGATATCCGGTGATTAGATAGGCAAGTAAGAAGTGCTCGTCCACCACAAGAAAATCATTCTGATTCGTGTTGCAGCCTACCGCTAGCCGTCAACAGCAAACAGCTATGAATTGTGACTAAAATAAGGGTACCTAAATTGAAGAAAGTTTCACCAGCTGCACCACCATTCCTGGAAAACATTCATCGTAGTCATTGACGGAAACTACCAAAGCTCGTTCCGCGAGTATTCAGAGAGCTTTCGAAAAACCGCGACTCACCCCCACAAATCATTGGTACAAAGATCTGCCCATGACTGTCAGTCTGAGCACAATTATACGCGCTCTGACGCTGATCCTATGTATAAGGGTCGGCTGTATTCATATCTGTAACACAGAAAACCATGGCCATACGTATAGGCCGGGATAGAATGCAAATGATTTGACGCTATTGACTGAGGCAGAAGCGGTGGCTAAATTAAAACCGAGGGGCGGGGAGGCCAATTGTTTCGTTGAATGAGACAGTGAGGGGGCCGCGGGAGAGAGAGAGAGAGAGAGAGAGAGAGAGAGAGAGAGAGAGAGAGAGAGAGAGAGAGAGAGAGAGAGAGAGAGAGAGAGAGAGAGAGAGAGAGAGAGAGAGAGAGAGAGAGAGAGAGAGAGAGAAAGAGAAAGAGAGAGAAGCAGCACACGAATACATATATTTTTACCCTCTACCCTGCATTCTTAGTCGCAAAAACTTTATGAAAACCTAGCCAATGAAGCAGGTACGCACCTGAAAGTTCCACTCAATCGGCTGTGATTTACGTTTCCGCGTTGGCGGCAGTGCGGTGCCAGTTTGGTCCGTCCAGCGGCCGGCGGCCCTTTACCGCTCTGTGGGGGTCCAATGGCGTGTCGGCGGCTCCGTGGCCGCTGCGAAATGTGCTCACGGCAGCGCTCCGGGACCCCCGCTGGTCAACTGATAGACCTGCCGGGACGGTATATCAGCCGCCGCTCCAGCAACGGACATTGATATTGTGAGGGGGCGGACAGCTACTTCAGACCAGCCGTATATGTCGCTACGAGGAGTGGTGATTTATAACTGAAGGGAGCTGTGCCATGGCGGGATTTACAACACCAACAGTGTCTTCATATCAATTTTCCGCACTGCTTAACTTTCTCATAAGCTTTTAGAAAAATAGTCGAAGTTTTATTCACCTTGAAGAAGTCATTGAACAAAACAATCAGACACAACCCGTCAATAGGGGCGTCAAATAAGTAAACACGTTGTCATGACAACAAAGGCTTGTTACACGGAGCACACGCCCTGCACACGCCTGGGTGCTCGACTGAATCACTAAACATCACATATTTAACGAATAATTATCACAGCAAACGCACAGAGAACAAAGTGGCAACAATAACGTACAGCACAGGGAGCAGGGGACGCGGCGTTCTGCACCGATGCTAAGCGATGCACTCATCATACCGCGGAGCACGACATTCGAGAATGCACTCTGACACTCCTTACTAACATTTTTTTTACCATACCTGGCACACATACGAGTACACGAACAACGACAGTCTAGCACAACACACCCAGCTAGACATACTGCGCACTAGTCCTCAGCTCAGGGAAGACCCGTGCCAGGCATGTACCGGCACCTCTTCCCCATCACTCTCTCCCGACCATCAGCGGCGCTAGACGGCCTTCTCGCGCTGTGGGCCGGCCGGCTGCAGGGTCTGGCCGTCCCTGATTTGCGGCAGTGATCCGTTGGTGGCTGGCGAGCGGCGCTGGTCGGGCGACTTACCGGCCGGGGGTGCCGAGCTGCCCTGACCGGACGGCAGGCGCGGCAGACGGCCGGCCGACTGGTGGGGAAGGAGAGAGGAGGTGAGGGGATGGTAGGAGAGGGGAGAAGGGATGTGAGGGGATGGTAGGAGAAGGGAGAGGGGAGGTGATGGGATGGTAGGAGAGAGGTGAGAGGGGAGGTGATGGTAAGAGAGGGGAAAGGGGAAGGCATAGACCCCTTTAAACATGGACTGTGCACTGGCTTGGCCTAATCGACATTTGAGGCAAAATTTTACAAGCTTCTTAAATCACTTTAAATTGGTAGAATGGCCGCGAAAAATTATCTACAGATTCGTCTGGCCTTCATCTTTTGAATGAAAGTTCTATAATCATAAACAATTAAATATTTTTGGATAAAATTGATCTTTTGTAGACTCTGTTCTCTATCGCAACTGCAGGATTAAAATATGCAACCGAACGGAAGTGTCCCTTAAGACGACAAACGTGACGCGATATGCAGCGAAATTTTGGAAAATAAAATCTTTCACATGGTTGTTATGCACATCGAAGGACATCTCTGTCCATCTTGCTGTCCATCTGTCAGTTTTTGAAGTGTATTGGTAAGTTTATTCATGTTTTAATTGTTAACACTTCGCTGATATGTAGATTTTAGTAGGCATACATTTTTAAAATGGCACGTAAATGTGCTGTTCTTAAATGTAGATCTGGTTATAAACAGAAAAAGTCTGTTTTCAAATTCCCTGTGGAGAAAACCCGTCGTCAGAAGTGGATAGAGGTACTAAAGCCCCTGAAGCCAATATCTCTGGACTACAGTGGAGTGTGTGAGCTGCATTTCTCGACGGAGAGTTTTTGCGAGGAAGCACTAACAGCCAGAAGAACTGACCGAAAAAATCTGCGTTTGAGACCAGATGCAATTCCAAGCATATATACGCTGCCCATCAAGTAAGTGCCTGACTATATATATATATATATTTTTGTGAGAAACTACCATTTCGTCAAAATATGTAAAGTAATCGTAACGAACTTCTCCAAGTCTTCTGACAGAGTGTGTGTGGGTAAATATTTTGCGTGTGGATGGCAAAATCTTTTTCTCCTAATAAAAAGTTTGAGTGCTCATCATCGCTACACCGACTGAACGATTGCCTTGCCACTTTCAGCCATTGATACGATTAACAGTGTCTGTAAAATGTACCTTTCAAAATGTTGATATTGGTGACCTAAGGTCAGGCCAATTTTGTGACCTTTTCATTTTAACCGCGCTCTCTGGAGGCTAAACCGTTGATCTAAGGTCCAATCTAAGAACACATTAGCGAAAGAGCGTCAAAAGAGATATCTGAAATGCGGTTTTGCACGGCGCTGTAGTTCTGGTTTCCGATTTATGCGCCAGTTTGTCGAAAAATGTTGAAATAGGTCATGTTTGACCTTTGAAGACCTCTGGTGACCTGACCTTTGACCTGACCATAAAAATGACTGAAGTAGTTTCGTAATTAAGTTAAAGTAACAGGCGAACAATGAATTAAGTAAATACGCATTTCTTTTCTTTTCAGCGACGGCGGGGATGAGGCCGAGGTGTCTCAACGTCCCACGTCGCGCGCAACGCCTACAGCGAGGCGGGAACAGCAGAGGCAGATCTGGAAAAGTCAAGAAGACACCATGTTTCAGGAGGAAAGGGTGCTCTCTGCTGTTGAGATGGCCGAGAAACTGGCTTCTCACACTATGCCGTCGGGATTCATTCTCGTCAAGATGCCAGCGACTGAGCTGAAGGAGGACGTTTTGTCCATCCGAATGGAGACCCTGGACGTAGCGCGAGGCCCTCTAGTGGTGCGCAGTTTGACGATATATCAAGATCTGCGGTACCAAATGCATGTGTCTGGCCGAGAATTGTCTACCTCCGCCACTGCCCACTTGGTAAGGAACACAGAACGATTTCAAACCACGTCGGAAGTGCTGAACGTGCTGGCGTTTCTAAAGGCGCAGCCTCTAGAAGAGTGCACAATGACATCCTGCCTGGAACTGCTGCAGAAGCTGGCTGAGGACGACACAACCGACTGCAGAGTCTTCAGTGGGTTCGCTGTCGAGCAGCTCCGACTGAGGACCTGTCCCAGAACCGCCCGCAAGTACAGCCCATCACTCCTCGGAACAGCTGTCATCTGGAGCCGGACAAGTCCCCAGCTATATGAAGAACTCCGAAACTCTGGACTCTTCATCTTACCGCACCGGTCCACACTAAGGAGACTTACGTCTGCACTCAGTGTCCAGGAAGGCCTTGAAATCGGTACGATGAAGTACCTGCAGATGAGGAACGCGAAGCTGACGCCAAGAGAGAGGATAGTAAATCTCGCTATGGACGAAGTCTATTGCGCCCCAACGCTGGAGCTCGCCGGCGGAAGACTGCATGGGGAATCAAGTGATGGCTCTGGAAAAGCGACCACAACGCTTTTCTGTACCCACATTTCATCTGTCGCTGGCAGATACGAGGATCTGGTCACGATGTCACCAGTGGCGCACGTCACAACGCAGGAAATGGTGAAGATGTTCTTCAACGTAGTGAAAGGCCTCACGGAGCTCGGATTTCGTGTGGTCTCTGTCACCACCGACGGACATCGCACAAATCAAAGCTTCCACCGAGCGCTCGGAGATGGCACCCACCCCGAGTACATCGTGAACCCGTGGAGCAGTGATGGGCTGGGAAGAATCTACACGATGTTCGATACAGTCCATCTGTTCAAGAACATCTTCTTTAACTTGTTGAACAAGAAGACTCTTCTCTGCCCGCCGTTCGAAAAGACCGGAGCTGCCCTAACGGTGAAATCTTGTCACCTTGAGAAGCTTCACAGAATGGAGTTCGGCTCTCCAGTGAAGATGGCCTATCGTCTCTCCGATAAAGTCCTCAACCCGACGAGCATAGAGCGCGTGAACGTGAAGCTGGCAGACTCCGCGACCCACGAGACCACCATAGCAGGGCTCATGGTGTACAGTAAGGAGCCTGGGTGCGACGGATTCGCAGACACTGCCGAGTTCCTGAAGATAGTAAGGACTTGGTTCAACATTGTGAACGTGAAGTCGCCATACAAGCACGTGGCCAAAAGGGACGATTTACTCAAGCCCATCTGCCTGGAGAATGAAGACGGTCTGAAGTACCTGGAGAAGTTTGGCGCTCTGATGGAGGACTGGGATCGACAACCGGGAACAGCAAAAATCTCCTCTGACACTCTTCGGGGTCTCGTCCTGACATGCAGAGGCCTGGTGGGCCTGTCAAAGTACCTGCTGCAGGAGTGTGATTTAGAGTACGTCTTGCTAGGTAAGATACAGTCGGACCGCATAGAGGGTCACTTCGGCCACCTCAGAAAACTTGCCGGTGGCAACTTCTGGGCCAGCCCGCGCCAGTTTACAGAAGGCGAGGCTATCATCCGTGCCAAGAGCCTGCTGTGGCTGTCTGGGTACACTCCGGATGAAGTAGCGGTAGATATGCGGCTCGTTACTCAGCAGCGAGAGGAGAACGACCACCGTGTGGCAACAGAGCTAACACAGATCGCTGCGGAGTCTCTCCCCGCTGAGGAAGGACCAGAAGAAGGCAAGGACGCGGTGTTTCACATGGCCGGCTACTTGGCCCACGCTGTGCAGAAGAAGCACAAATGCAACCCTTGTCGTGACCTTCTCGCGGATGGCCATCGCAAAATTTCTGTGAAAATAGCAGTCAGCGGAGCTGAGGAGCAGGAGGCTGCCGCTACATTCACAGACCTGCTGAACCGGGGAAAGCTGCTCCAGCCATCTGCCACTTGTCTCAAAATCACTGAGGACATATGCTCCATCTTCAGGTCCCTGAGAGTTGAGGCTAAAACCCGCGCCATTTTGTTTGGGTGCACAAACCCCAGGAGAGTGTTTAAGGAGATCTCGCTGAACCTCTTGGAAGAAAAAGAAGGCTCCCAGCTGGAGTGCGCGGCTGGTCACAAACTCAGCAAACTCATCTTGCCCACCATGGCGGGGGCGCTGTTCAACGCTTGCGTCTCCAATCATGCCAAGGACCTGAACAGCCTAGCACACGCCGAAAAGAGGCCAAAGCAAGCACAGGGACGCGCTGGTCGAAGAAACTCGGATTCCGACAAGATCCGAAAGCTGACTGGATCGAAATGAGTGATCATTTGAACGCCTACGTTCTCCGGAACCTGATCTCAGGTTCTCAGGTGCATTCAGACTTCGGGTCAGAATTGGGTGGGAAACTACTGAGAGAAGTAAATAGGAAGGCATGCATGTGTATTTTTGCACAATACAAAATAAACTACTCGCAGCATTTTTTAATAGTTTTCGTTTGAAAGGTGGGGTGTTTAACTAAGCGTCAAGTTTCGAGGACAGCGCAACTTTATGCGGGAGTCGATCCCCGATCATTAAAGTGCAGGGGTCGCCCCCCTCGCCCTGACCTCTCCGTTGGCCATGTCCCTTAGAATAAGTTAGTTGCGTTTCTTTTAAAGCTATTGTGATTATGAATTATCTAAAGCGCAACAAAAAGCACCGAATCGAATGTAATGCTAGATTCATTGTTTACATAGGAGGCAAAATTTTGCCTCAAATGTCGATTAGGCCAAGCCAGTGCACAGTCCATGTTTAAAGGGGTCTATGGGGAAGGTGATGGGATAGTGGGAGAGGTGAGAACCCTTGTGCCATCGAAGGACGCAAAATGGCCTGTGCCGGCGAGGGTTAAGCATCGCAAGACAGACTGAATGATAGAAGGGCAGAAAGTATGACAGAACATAATGCTGGGTTTAATCACATCGCTGCCATGTATATGACGGCTGTTGGTGGCAGCACTGACCTTTTCCGACATGACCTTCATGAAGGGGTGCTTCATCAGCTGGGCGCACGTGGGCCTTGTCTCAGGATCCTTGTCTACGCAGTGCTGAAAAAGACAGATGTATTGGTCAGTGTGCGTGATATGCAACATATCAGAGTGAGGAAACATACTGCAACGCAAATATCATTCTTACAGTATCGTTCATAGATGACACTGGCTTCGAACGCCTGAACACAAGCTGTACCGCAATACTCGACGCAAGTGGGACGGGATTCCAAGAATCGCGATACTGCCGATGCAAAAAGGAGTTTCCAATACAGGTGGATTGAAATCAATTTATGGTGAAGCGAGACGAATAAAACGAATTGGTCTCACCATTCTATGTCTAAGATTCATACAATATCTTATGCTCCTTGACACCATCAGCTATGCTTGCTCACCATGACGAAGTCCATGCACTCCTTGCTGCAGTACTTGGAGAGTTTCTGCTCCAGACTGTCCTTCTTATCAGACTCCGGGATGCTCATGCCTCGGAAGAACCTGTTCGCCTTGAAGATCTGCATGTGTCGGGGAAGTAGCTCGCCTGCAATAGAAACATGTACGTCAATCTAATGAATGAATGAATGAATGAATGAATGAGTGAATTAATTAATGACTGACTGACTGACTGAATGAATGAATAAATGAACGGCCAACCTTTTTATTCATTATTGTCCTCATCTCAGTCCTAAGCACTGTCCTCAGCTGTACTCACTAATCATAGGTACACTTTCAACAACCCTTGCTGACTGTCCCCAGTCTTTCCCTATCCCCTCGCCACCCACCGAGCGTCCGCCTGATGAGGTAGAGCTGATCGAGGTCAGAGCGGCCGGGCCACAGCGCGTGGCCGCGCACCAGTTCGGCCAGCACGCAGCCGATGGCCCACACGTCCACCGGCGGCCCGTACTGAGTGTCGCCGACCAGCAGCTCGGGAGCCCGGTACCAGCGCGTGGCCACGTAGTCGGTCAGGTTCTCACCCTGGCCGCCTGCACAGACAGGCGTGAGAGGGGCGTCGGTGACCAAACAGCGGCACATGATCCGGGGGATGGGGATATGGTGTTTGATGTCGGACCATAGACTAGAATAAGGAGCAGTCTTCATCCTCCCAGCATGATAGCGGTCATCGTAGCGTAATTAACAACCGAACGCGTGTTATACTCTATCCAATGACTCTACGAGATAAGAAATAATGTGCCTGCCTGCAAGAATGAAAGCAGGCTTCTTGGGCAGCGGATTCCGAGATCCGATTGGGACATTTCCTGAGGGCCCTGAGCTTATCATTATTGGAGGAAACGTAGAATCGGCAGCATCTGCAAATACAGCAAACCCTCGTAAAAACAGGCTTCTAAAACCAGTAAAACGCCTTTTGGGCGAAGAACGAGCGAGCGAGATAGTGAGCCCTGCACGTGCAGAAGGGCGAGAGGGTACTTCCAACGGGCTCGTGCAAAGCACCCTTCTAACCGGTCGCTAGGCGGTGTACCAAATTTGAACGCAATCGGCCCAGCCGTTCCTGAGATCTGGAAGCGGCATTCTGCACGTGCGCACGTGCAAACGGGGTCCAAAATGACTTTTGCACGGCACCCTACTAACCGGTCCCCAACCGTGTACCAAATTTGAGCGCAATCGGCCCAGCCGTTCTCGAGATCTGGAAACGCCCCCTGCACGCGCGCACGTGCAGTAGCACCCTAACCGCAACACATGGGAATGCATTGCCTGGTGGGTGCCTACCTGTATGCCAAGTTACAGCGAAATCGCCCCAGTAATTACCGAGTTACTGAAATGGGAACAAATTTGGCACCTCTTATTGTTGTATTTTGCACGTGCAGTGGGGGTCACTCACATAGATGAAGAGTATCCGACCTTTGGTAGAAGGGATGCAGCTACCCTATAAAAATGACCGCAAGACAATCGCTCAAGCCGCTGCTGAGATATGGGCCTCTCAAAATCATTACTTTTGCAAAACTGCTTGAACACCCTTGACTTTTCACGTGGCACGTGCCACGGCGGTCACTGAGATGTATCAAAAGTAGTCAATTACGGGGTAAAAGGGATGGGGCTACCCAGCAAAAAAGACCGCAGGCCATTCGGTCCAGCGGTTGCTGAGATATAAGCCTCTCAAAAGCGTTACAGGCCGGGCCGGGCCGGGCCGGGCCGGGCCGGGCCGGGCCGGGCCGGGCCGCTCATACTGAGATTTTTCCGTTATATTGAAAAGACTTCGCTTCGCTCGCTGCGCTCGCTCGCTCGTAATTACATAAGTTATTCAGCGCGATATTGATTATGTCCTTTCGCATACCTAGGCGCAATCTAAACCTCGATCCAGTGATAGTTTCCAAATAAGCCCAAAAACAGAACTAAGAACTGAAATAAGATGATGAAAAAAGAAAAATAAATCGGGTGCTTCGATTGATTACACCAGATGACGATCATCAAGGAACTAGTTAAAAATGCCTCTTTATGACAAATAACCCTATTCACAACATTCAAAGCCGCGTCAACAATGCCCCTCGCCAATCCTTCCCACTCCTACAGTGGCACCGTACTCATGCTGCGAGCGAAGCCGAAGTCGCAGAGCTTGACGACGCCGTCCTTGGAGATGAGCAGATTTTCGGGCTTCACGTCTCGATGGATGCAGCTGCGCGAGTGGCAGAAGTTGACCGCCTGAAGCACCTGCCAGATGATCTTCCGCGCCCGCTCCTCGCTCATCCTGCTGTCGAAGTAGGCCACGGCCAGTGAGGTTTGAGGGAAATGCCGTATCAGTTCATGATGATATCTGACTATTAGGGTGTGTTAGTCAGTGAGATAAAACGCTTAAAAGTAAAAGCGCAGATAAGACACAGGTTATTTCAAAACCTATCACCTTATATGTATATTGACAACAGCAGTGCACGCGACCGCCATCTACGACACATTTTGATATTGAATCCATCCGAACAAATAAAAGACAAAATTCGTCCAACGATAGGTAAGATTAGTAATCACATTAATGCGGTACTGGTTTAGCCAATCTACCACCCAGACCACTGGGTGGCCTGGTAACATACTGCGCCCCCTCCGCGGCGCAACTAACCCTTTGTTGGACTTCTCCAGCTCATCCAGCACGGTGCTGTCGCAGAACTCGAACACCAGGTGAAGTCGCTTCCTGCGCCTGAACACCTCCAGCAGGTTCACCAGGTTCGGGTGCTTCAGTTGCTGCGCGGACCGGCCGCACGGTCAGACGAGGCGGCAGAACAGAAGGTGGCCACAGCCAGGTTACTCGATCGTGTTCGATGTTAACAGAAACGGACGGCTCGAGAAAAATACATAGGTTCAGCGAAGTTGATTTTAAAAATTGATTAGCAATCAACGTAACCAGGGATGTCACTAAAAGGAAAGCCATTGAGCAATGGCCAAGCTCATGATAAAACGCTTAGATATCCCAAGGCTGAGCCTTGGGCTCAATCAAAGGAGCAGTTACGAAGCCCAAAGCTTACCTTTAGCATGCGCACTTCTCGAACAGCGATCTTACGAATGACCGGGTCATCCTCTGCCTCGAGGAACTTCTTGATGGCCACGATTTGACCCGTCTCTCGATTTCGACACTTGTAGACGGTGCCGTAGGAGCCCTCGCCTAGCTTGCCGAGTTTCTCGTACTTTTCGAGACCGCGCGTCTCCTGGGCTGACTGGGTCTGAGAATGACCCCCGCTGACCCCTGGAGACCAGGAAGTGGGATAAGGCAAGGATCAGTTGTGGGCAGATCACTCTGCTCGCAGCCAAGCGCCCTTGGAAAGATAATAAGTTGTTCGCACTTCGATTGTGATGATATTATAAGCAGAGAAAGCAAAATATGAAATGAATATAAATCGTACTTCGTAATTTAATAAAATGCCTCAAATCCCTTGGGGTCGTATCAAAAGATGGGGATTGTCTTACCGTGAGGTTTTGCTTCTCGCTTCATGTTATGCTTAAAAATGCCTTGCAAAATGTTTGACAACAACGATATAACAGTTTAAGCAAGAACGTGCTATTTCAACAATATAATTATTGACACCAATTCAATATTGAATGCAAAACAATATTTTGGATTAGATTTACAGCGCCATCCTGCTGTGTGTCGTTATCGTCTTCTTCGAGACATACCTGGCTGACACGTGAAAGCATTCATCAGCGTCTTCGGCTCCGCGAATTTATGAACTCTTGGGTTCGGTAGGCCGTAGGTTTGCAACCACTGTGATTAGTCTCAAACAAGTGTATTAATCCGCATTTTCTAAAGCATAGATGTCTGCAATTGTTTCACGCTCTTTATTATTTTTTTTTTATAGATACGTTACGAGGTAGGCGTCAATTTCTCAACTGCGCGTCGAAAGATCCTAAATCTTGACAAAAACCAATACATAATATTTCGTTGTTGTAGGCGAGCAATGGCATCTTTGAGCATCATCATAAGTAGAAAAGTATGTATAAATAACCTTATGCTCATTCTTTGCACTTTTTTGTTGAAATTGAATAATTAAACAAAATCATTGATATATTTCGGCTTGCGCCATCTTCAGAATCTCTGAAGATGGCGCAAGCCGAAATATATCAATGATTTTGTTTAATTATTCAATTTCAACAAAAAAGTGCAAAGAATGAGCATAAGGTTATTTATACATACTTTTCCACATAATATTTCGATCGTCCCCAGCAATCAAAGACGAGCGATGCACATAAACATTTATTACAATCCATATCCAATGCATACAAAACAACGAGAGCACGGTAACACAGCTTCCTCATACAAAGCACAGACTTCTGGAATATGGAAGATAACCTAGAAATACAGGCCAGAGATGTCGGATAAAGAATTGCCAAATGTGCGATATAAATCGCCACAGACTATTGAAACTGTGAAATGAAACTGTGACTTCAGCATAAAGCAAGTAATCTTTCAGCCCCAGATACCCACAATATCACCTGCAAAAGTTACACAATTAGTTATCAGCAAAATTAATCGCATCGCCAACGGGCACTTCGCTTCTCCTCACATTCCACAACAAATCCTGATGACTGGCGACCACGTGTGAAACTATACGTTATCACAAAATTGCTATGAGATAGACATATTTTCACAACAAAATCACAGAGTTCACAGCCAAACACGATCACATTCCACAACTCTACGCGATATTCAGACCCAGCAGAGTACCTACTTAACCCCGTCCCTCAGGGACGACAAGGGTCCATCTGACCAGATAAGTAAAGAATACTGCCGTCCAAACGAAAACAACCGCGAGAGCCATTTTTTTACCTACAAATTAAGGGCATCAATGGATTCATTAGATCAAGTTATGTTCCAATTTTCTAGAATGGCAAGTGGCCCTGTCCGATTGAGTGAAGAGCGTTCAGCGGTGTTTTCTGACCTCGTCCAGGCCTCGTTCGTGCAGTGTGAGCAGGCATATACGTTCACTTCCTTGAGACAAGGCGACATTGTCAAACCATCAGAGGTTCACACCATCATCAGCAACACAATAGCCGTGTTTACATAGGATTCCCTTAATCTGAATAATTCAAGATGAAGGTGCTGTCTGCTTATCGTGCAGATGACAAGAGGAGATATGTTCAAAAACTCACGTATAGGAGAAAGTGCTTTCCTGACCCACACGAGGTGAACGAGCGATGTTGGAAGCAAGATGTGAATTTGTGGCCTCACCTTGAATGGCCAAACATCTATCATTATTTTGTTCATACCGCCAGTTTACACACAAATGAAGAGATTGGTGCATACGTGTCACTTGAAGCCTTCAACTATGTCAAGTCTGGACATGTCAAAAAGGTGGAAGTGTATGTTTCAAATGAAGACGTGGTTTTCATCAGTGGAACAGTCATGCCCAGCCAGCGTCTGTAAAAAAAACAAGCCCTACCTTCCTGGACCGTGATTGAAAAATCTACTGGTGTCATCACTTGCGGGCATTGCACATGCATGGCTGGAGCTGGAGAGGCCTGCAATCACGCAGCAGCAGTGCTTTTGCTGATCGAGATGGTGTTCAGGAACAAGAGAGGAACTGAAGCAGACGATGCCTGCACCAGTGTTCTGTGTCAGTGGAAGAAGGCCTCTCACAAAGTCGAGTTTCCGGGCTCGGGTGGGGGAAATGGGCGTTTACCCTCACCCAAAGACATGAGTGGAGGTGCACCAATACATTGACCCGTGACCAACACTAATGTCTGCGAGCGCAAGCGGACGGAGAAAAAACTGAAAAAGGCATCCCCAATGTGGTTGATGTGGCACCAGATTCAGTGCTGGGCATCACAATGAAAAAAGCAAAAAAGCGTGGCAAAGCTGCCTCAACCACCCTGTCACCTGCGGACTGGCTTAACTAACGACTGCAGCAAACATCACGAGGAACTCACAAACACGCTGACCAGCACTTGCACTGAGGAGAGGTTGGCGCTGTCTTGGAGGAGGAGACAAGACATCAGAGTTCTTCTGTTGTGTGAAAGCAACAAAGGAGAGGGGGACTCACAGCATCAAAGGTCCATGAGGCTATCAATGGCTTGAGATGGGACGAGACTGCAAAAAAATCTTCTTTCAAGTGAAGAGGATCTCGTCACATACCAAACATCCAATATGGACTAGTCAACGAAAGAAAGGCAATAGAATCTCTGGAAACCTACCCGCAGACATGTCACAGCAACTACAAAGTGAGAAAAGCTGGTCTGTACGTGCATAGTGTGTGTGTTGTTGGACTTTTGGGTGGGCGCTACAGCACAGGTAGGCTATCAATAGCAAATCGCAAATTGACCTCTTAAGCCTGAAACAGACTCTTTCCGCAGTCAGGAAATCGCATGCGAGAGCCTATTCAAATACATGGAAGTAAGCTCGCATCAATCGCACGCACCTCCCGCAAGCGATTAATGCGAGAAGAATTACAATGTATTTGAATAGGCTCTCGTATGCGATTTCCTGAACGCGGAAAGAGTCTGTTTCAGTCTTTAGAAGAACAGTGCACGCCGCTGTTCGAGGCAAACATCACGCAGGATACCACTGGCGCTGATATGGTCGACTTGGGTCAATCAGGTACCGAGACCTCCGAGAAGCGGACCCGTGAGGAGTCACCTATTCAACCCCCTGCGCCGGAACAGACAACCGCTCAAGCCGTCAGCACAGACGACGCCTCTTGCCATCCCCCGGAGACTCCGACAAGCACTAAGCGTGCGCGTGCCGCCCCCGGCCGCCAACCGGCGCCGAATCCACCCGTTCAGGAGCAGCCGGAGGACGCCGAACAGCAAGCGATGGAGTCGCCTTCTCCCCGCCAACCAGCAAGGGGAGAAGTATCGACTCTCGAAACCCACATAGGACCACGTCCTACAGGAAAGACGCAGGAAGGAAAACCAGAGCACTCCCCAGCCTGACCAAAGCCGCGGTAGGCAGCATGTCGATAAGGCTGACGACCCACCACGGATGGGACCCCCTCCGCCTCCACCGCCCTTCAGCAGTCGTCTAGGGTCTGTTTCCCCAGTGACTTCAGGCTGTTCTTCTCGTCATCCTTATCCTTCCTCAAGGCTGGCTGGCCTGAGGCGTCAACGATTGAAGAGACAGAGACGTCAGCGCAGACTGCTCCTCCTTGCCGAACAAGCAGAGGGGCGTCGTCGAAGGCGTCAGATTTGGAGGCGACCCTCAATTATCAGGCGCACTATCGCTGCGAAAATCAACGACTTGAACGAACCTGAGGAGAGGCGGTCGCTCGTCGCACGCCAGGCTGATGCCTAAAACATGTGAAGCGATGTTAAAGTGTGCCAGTATATCGAACAGAATGGAAATGCAAGGATACGTCACACATTTGTCTTGCAGTGTCGTGCGGGATTTTATGCAGCGCGTGAGCACGGTTTGGTGAGCACGGCGGCAGCGGCGCGCCGATCCCCCCGCCCCGCATATTCAACAAGGAGCAGCAGCGTTTCCTAAAATCCCAGCGGAAGCATGCTTCAGTAAAGCTAAGAGGTAGAAGATTCTCGGATGATGAGGTGACGGAGGGGCTTGCGCTCTACTATCAGAGCCCAAAGACCTACCGCCATCTCCGACGTAAGTTCGCCCTACCCAGTCCTCGGTGCTTGCGTAGACGGAAACAGACGGAGAGTCCGTCCAGATGCAGACAGGGTTTCAAGACTGGATATCGGCAGTGATTAAAGAGAAGTTCGAGAGCTCTGCCGAGCATGACAAACTTGTGGTCATTTCATTCGACGAAATGCAAGTTCGGCCGAAGCTGACATATCTGTGACACAACGACGTCGTCGAAGGGACAGAAGATTTTGGAGAGATGTGCAGGACGTCTCAAACGAGCTGACAGTGCATTGGTGTTCACAGCTCGTGGCATCACCTCGTCAAGGGAACAGCCCGTGGGCTACTGCTGAGCAAAGGAGCAGCACCAGCACGTGTCCTGAAACCTATTCTGGAAACTTGCATACAAAAGCTGCGTGAAGCTGGGTACACCTGTCTGCACGGTATGCGAAATGGGTACGCCAAATCAAAAACTGCAAAAAACTCTGTGTCCACGCAACCAAACCCCAGTTCGAAGTAGATGGTGAAGATGTCATGTGTCTGTATGACGTCCCACGCCTTATGAAGTGCCTAAGAAACACACTCCTCAAACAATTAGTCACGGTAGATGGGAAGACCGCCTCGTGGAACCGCATTCGACAGTTTCACGCCACTGACAGAGGCCGCAAGCTGCGATGTGCCCCTAAGTTGAGCGACAAGCACGTTTCTTAACTGTATTACTCATGAAGCCACAGGCGCTAAAGCAGATTGGGTGGCAAAGCAAGGTACCATGGAAAGATCAAATGCCTTTGCAGGCAGTGCTACCACACGCTGTGGCCAAATGTGTGAGAATGCGGCCCTCCAAATCTATGGGGGGATGTGTAAGAGAATCTCTCGTGAACTGTGGTCTGATAATCCCACCTGCATGTCCGTGGCTGGGGTTCTCCCCTGATGCTGTGGTGGTCAGGTGTTTTTCATTCCAACTGCCTTATCATCGCTAAAAAACATGTGTCGAACGACCATTGATAACAATGAGACGACTTCAAACGTGCTCCCCTACATTTCATGGTATCCGATTAAGACGAGTGCCGAAAAGCACGATTGCAATGTATGCCGAGCTGCTCAAT